CGCTGGGGCTGCGAGGCGGCGCGGTGGAGCGAGCGCGACCGCGGGCGGGAGCGTGGAGGCGCTGTGCCTGCACGACCAGCCGGCGCGACGCGCTGCGAGCTCTGAGCGGAATGGGGGCGCGCGGCGTCTTAAGAAGGCGGCGGGGCCCTCACCTTGCGGCGCTCCTCCCGCCCCCCGCGGCCCCCGCGCGCGCGCTGACGCACGAGCAGAGGCGCCCCGGCAGCCCGAGTGCGGTGGGGGCGCTGCAGCGGACCCCGCTGGGATCTGCTGCCCGCCTCGCCGCTCTGCCGGGGCTCAGGGAGCCGCACGTGCTTGCTCTCCTCGCCCAGGCTGGCCACCTTCCAAAGAGGAACAGGACTCAGTCCCTCCAACTCTGAAGATCCCCCAAAGTATGGATTACCCCGGGGCCCCAGGAGAGAGATCGTGTCGTGATTCCCGCAATTTTCTCTAGCTCCTAGCAAGAACCAGGCAACAATTCCTGTAGGTTTTGAGAATGGTTGACCGAAGGCAAGGTGCATAATTATCCCATGAAGTATTTGAAGTGCGCCAGTCTGTCAGTCTCTCTCCCTGCCGAGTACCAATGCGTGCTACAGAAAGCCTCCCAGTTCTTCCCTTGGCCTTGTGGAATAAGTAACGCTATTTTTTACCATTTCATTTTGTAGTGACAGAAGCAAGATAAAGGAGATTATTTCACTTGTCCAAGTTCAAGTAAAAGCTGCACTTGTTCTAGCAACCAAGATTTTTTGGGCTTCTTTCAAATACATACAGGTTACTTGGTCTGTGTGAGGCCTGTGGAGGAGGCACTTGGCCCAAGATACTCTCCATCCCCCAACCCCTACCCCAGAGAATACCAGAGAGTGGAAAAGGCTCTCAGACCACGAGGTCATTTGCATTGCCTTCTCAAGAAAGCCCTTTTTAGGCAGGAATCCCGGAGAAGTGTTCAGAGCAGGAATTGCAAGGGCAAAGACATGTAGCAGAGAGCTGGGAAAACGTCAAGTCTGGGAGGGCTGGAGCCAGGGCGAGGAAGCCGGTTAGGACCATCGAGGACTTCAGATTTATCACGAGATCTCTTGAAGGCCATTTCATTGAGAATTTGTTTTAATCCTTTTTATTAGGAACCATTTCAGACACTCAGTAGTAGTAGTAGTACTAGTACTAGTAGTAGTAGTGGTAGTGGTAGTGGTAGTAGTAATAGTCATAGGAGTAGGAGTACTAGCAGAAGAGATAATGTTCTTGTGTGCCCTTGAGTCAGAACTGACTCAGCTGACCGTCTAGCGGGTTTTCAGAGGCAATAAATCAAAGGGGAGGAGATCACTCATCCTTCTCCGCAGAGCAGCTGGTGCCTTTGGGATTGTAGCGCAACTGCTCACCCGAAGACAACCAGAGCTCTCCATGTCCTCAGCACCCCACCCTCACAAAGATCCCTATTTTGCCATTCCTTAATTTCTTTCTAGTTTAGGTGTTTCAGGAGAAAGATGGACAGTCTCCTCCCCTGCGACTTACAGCCACACAAACACAGACGGAGAGTCAACTATACCTGAGTTCTGACTCTGATGGCAGTGAGTGAGACGATGTTGAGAATAAACACAACAAAACGCACCAACAGTTTCTACAAAGAAAAATAATCGACAGTGATTGTATGCACTAAATTGTGCAACCATTCACACACCCCTTTTCTGAACTGTCCCACCCTGTTAACATAGTCCTTTAAAGTTCCTCTGTAATCTTTGCAGTTCCTGCTGTCAGTTTGATCCCACAGACATAGGTCTTAAAAGTGTTATCCTTCTATTTTTAGAATAATGGTCTTAGGCAGTACTCGTCCTTATGACAGTGAGTGAGTTCGCTCAGCATAATGCTTGCCAGTTGGTCCCTAGTTATGTTTTCTATATATGGAACCCAAGGGGGAAAAGGGTGGGAGCAGAGGGGTGAGGATGGGTAGAGGCAAAACTACAGGATTGCAAGGTTTGGTGGGTGGAGGTGGGGAAAGGAAATGGGAAGGATCCGAGTGAAAATACAGGGAAAAGATGGGCATAATCCAATGGTGATT